TCCCAGGTGGCATATATATGCAAACTCATTCTCTGCCAGCAGGAGGCGCTGTTGGAGTGGTAGAGATCAAGGTTTACCCGGTAACGGCTGTACACAAAGCAGCGCTCCGCTCCAAAAAAAAAACACTGCTTTATCAGACATTACATGCAAGATTAAATGAAAATGACATCCAATTTTCTGAAGACAGTCGGTGTGATTTTTTAAAAACGAAATATCTCCCTTTGGGGTGGACTTTTGAGATTTGTAACTTTCTAGATCTTTTTTTATGCCCAAACATACACACTACACACTGACTAAAATTCAAAAGGTGAAAAAGCATAATAGGACCCCTTTAATGGCGCCAGTGGAGCGAACATAAGGCTACACACTTCAGCTTTAACTTTCACAGTACAGTACAGTAAAACGAGCAAAGCTATTATTATTATTTTTTACTGAAACCCACCTGATTTCCGAAGACCCCGATGGAGCAGGCAGTGGACACTTCTTCAGATCCGAACCCCACCGACGCGATGCGCGAGGGCATCCCGAGGATAAACACCTGAGCCACTGAGCACGTGAACTGACCCAAGAATGTGACCGGAAAAAGGTCCGGTCTCGCGCTGGCCACCTTGATCCACGTGCCAGTGCAATTCAGAGCCGCCGCCACGAGCGCGATGACCCTCAGCCCTTTTTTATCCAAGAGCCACGAGACGGGGAAAATGAGCGGAATGTACGTCAACATGTAAATCATGGACATCCAGTCAATGGTGAAAGAGTCCACGCCGTAGAAGCGCATGAAGATATTGTTGATGATTCCGTATTGAATCCATTGATAGGAGTTACACAGCGAATAGGAGCTGAATAATAACACTATGACCCATCTCTTTTTATATAAACGCGTTTCCGGCGGTGCGCTTCGATGTTCAAAAGACACCTCAGCATCAGTCGCGGCTGTTTTTGAGAAATATTTATTAGCATTCACCTCTCCGTCCACTGGCTTTGATTCATCACCCATTTTCACTCGATTCAGCCGCGTTCAGAGACTGAAAGATTCATTCATTCATGTTGAGGAGACGCCGGGCAATCTACTGGAACACACTGTAGTAACTTACTGTAGAACATGTCAAACTTTGTTCTAATTACTTACTCACTCTACATTACAGATTAATGACATATTACCTGAGTTTTAGATAAACCTCCCATATTATTACATCGATGTATGTTCATCCTCTGCGCGAATTTAATACGGTTAAACGCAGCAGAAACTCTTTAAACATTCGTTGAAAGTTGAAGTTCCTGACGTAATGTAACTAACTAGAAGAGAAATTATAAACAAACCTTGGGCAAAATGGGCGGGGCTTCACTGTAAGGCGGCTGTCAGTCATGTGACATTCCTGAGCAAGTAGAACAAGGATAGTGTACATTGTAAATCTAACAGAAAACGTTTCAAAACAAACTTAAAGAATTACAGAAATAAGTAGCTATAAACATAGGGGTGTGGTTTGGTCAAGTAATTTTGGAAGGACTATAAACTTGAAATGGTAATTTCCAGTTTGGAACGCTTTACTTCCGTAAATACTTAGGCTAACACACTTTTCTTTAAGATTTTCTGATTGGGGACATGTCAATGAAATAATTATTGACGTATTTTGTGTAATGTTAATGAAGAACAAAGCATACTCGCTATCTATTTACCTGGTTTATGAGGGGACAATCGTACGTCGAAACTACATTTCCCATGATTCTCGAGAATCACGGGAAATGTAGTTTCGACGTACGATTGTAGTAGCGCAGCAATTTACTGAATTATATTACAGAGATGCCTGGAGTGGATTTCACCTTTTATTACAGACACCAATCTTAGAAAATAATATATTTAAAGGATTATAATTGTAGTGTGCAAAACACCCACAAAAACATCCTGAGATTTGAATACGACTCAGAGGAGGATTCAACTTTTTGATCCGCCGAGCGCCCCCTGGTGGTGAGAGACATTCATCACACAGAATGGAAATATTCCACTCGCCTCAGTTTACTGATGTTTGTGGCGGATAAGGAAGAGATGGCGCCCTCTGCTAGGTTGGAGCTTCTGGTGAAGTTTTGGCTCTGTCGACGTGGGGAACCGGGTGTGTCAAGCTCTGCGCCATTAATTGTTTAAGCTAAATATTATTGTAAAGTATTATGCACATTTACATCACATTTAACATTTATATATTTATACTAATACCATTAGCCTATATACTATCATGATATTATATTTATAAAAAAGATACTGTATCTCAGTCACAAGCCCAAATTCAGTTTTGAGCATATTATTGTAATATTTGTTGGCTAAACACAATAAATCCACACTAGTATACTTTTAGGCAATGGGTAACTGTATTAAAAAGTAGATCTTAGTAGACCAAAGAGAAAAGAACAAGGATATTATTTATAAATGTCATATGTGTTTCATATGTTATAATTTTAAACAATTGATCCATTTCAGTACTTGTTGGCCAAAACAATGCCTAATTTATTTATTTATTTATGTTTCTTTTTACAATTTGACCTTTTCGTTAATAGTTTTCTTTCATAATTGTTTTGCTCTTCAACATTTCTGTTTATAACAAACAAAACATGAAATATGGCATACAGGAAAAGAAAAGTCCCCCCACTATCATTGTTGTACAGTATACTGGCATGATTGAAAACAATATCCATGTCTTCACAGCCAAGTTTAATATATGCCATAATAAAATAATGAAGAAAAAGCATCGGCCTATAGGCAAATCAGGAAAAAAATTAAGAAACATTCTGTCTTATATTTAGTGACTTACAGCACATTCATCCGGGATGAGTCTTTATTAAACACTTGAAATGTGAAAATTAATTTTAAGCTTTTTTTAAAAAAGGGATTGAATAAAGCATAAATGATAGGATTAATGGTGGAGTTCAGCAAGAAAAATATTACAGCAACATCTCTGACATAAAACAAGTCAGCATTACTGTACGGAATCACTAAAGAACAAATATAATACGGCAGTAAACACAGGAGAAACACAATGACCAGAATCCCCAGCAGGATCGCAGCTTTTCGCTCTGATTTGTCACTGACTCTGTTTTTGGAGGATTCTGTTCTGTTGTGAACCTGAAGGGCTCTTATAGCAGTCGCATGTCTCTTAGCGATGACAAAAACATGAGTGTATAATATTATAATAAGTGTACATGGCATAAGAAACACAATCAGAAGATCAATGAAAGATGAAACTCTATCTACACTAGAAACACACACTCCTGGACACATGACATCAGTGAAGTTTCCATTAACAAAGAGAAGAATGAAGTTATAAATGAGTGAAAACAGCCAGTTAAATAAAGTCGCTATGCAGATCACAGTGGGTGAGATTTTCTCTGAGTAAAAAAAAGGAGAACTTAAAGCCAAAAAACGATCAACTGCTATCAGAGCCACAGTGTGAACAGACACGCTTGTCGCCTGAAAATTCACAAAATTGAAAACCGAACACATCGCTGGTCCAGAAATCCAACATGACTCAATCAACAAAGTCAAATGAAATGGCATCACAGCAACTCCAACCAGGAGATCGGACACAGCCAAAGAGAGGATGAGGATGTTAGCAGGTGTGTGGAGCTGCTTGAAGTGACTAACAGAGAAGATGACCAGCAGGTTTCCACACATGGTCAGCAGAGACACAGCTGCTGTGGCCACATACAGAATCACATAGACAGATAAAGAAACAGATCTCCCTGGACACCAATATTCCTGACAGACATCGCTTTGGTTCACTGCTGTTAGATTCATTCTTCAGTATTTGGATGAAACATCCAAACAGAGTATTGTTCCCTGTGAGTATAAGGACTCATGGATTCAAATGTGCAGTTTGTATCTTCAACAGCTCTGAATTGCTCATCATCTGAAACATAGTCTGCATTCACTCCTGGAGGTTCCACAATAAAGATGTGCTACTACAACCCATGCTACCTTTTATACACTTGACATTTTGACTTTTTCCAAGACCGGCAGCATCAAGGGGGGAAGAGCATACAGCTGGGAGATCAACTGATTTGTTTCATCCAGAGAAAAAAAAAACAGATGAAGAGTGACATACAGAAAGTTGGCTTATATAAAACATATAGGTATAAACAAAAAATCTATATAATACAATAATATATTTGCAATTTATGTTGCGATTCTACAAAAGAAAATGATTTCTAAATAAAAAAAAAAAACATGCAAAATGCAGCCTGTGGTCTAAATGGACAACCAACAAATGACAGTTTATTGTGTGTCGAAAATGACCTTTATTTTCTTCACTTAAATATCTTACTGAGAGAAACGTGAGGTTGTACGAAAAACCCTAATATGGAGATAGTTTTGGCATATTTTATAATTTTTTATTTATTTTATTATTATTTTATAAGTCCTTTCAAGGCAAGTTATTTCATTCAGCGGCCATCTTTGAAACGGCATTCGGGTAGCTATTTCAGTCATTGAAGTACAACTCTATTTGAAGGGCGAAACATCAAATTCACCAAAGCTTTTCACCATGCTTACAATTAAATTTCATATTTGAAATCACCAATGAAATCCGACAATAACATTCTCACAAATGCTGTTTCTTATGCTCAAATAGGCAATGCGCATGTGCAGTTCTAAGCGCCCCCAGAACACTGACTGTTTCTATAGCAACCGGAATTTCTAATGGCAACTGCAGTGACGCGATGACTTTACCAATCAGCTTTTGGCTCTTTTATGTAGAAGGCGGGCGTTGCACTTTCTCCAATTCATAAGCGATATATCTAAAGTCTTTGTTTTAAAGGGGTCATATGATGCGATTTCAATTTTTCCTTTCTCTTTGGAGTGTTACAAGCTCTTGGTGCACAATCACAGCACACCTTGCTTTTTCAGACCGATGACCTTTTGTTCAAAATCGATGTGTTTCGAAAAGGCGGGGCATAGAGGAGAAACAATAATGTACAGTATGTGGAAAATAATGTGTTTTTTTAACTTTAAACCGCATAAACACATTTCATTACACCAAATACACAAAATAATCTTCTTTTTAGGAGCATCATATGACCCCTTTAATGCAAAGTAACGTCTTAGGCCAGCAGTCTCACATTTAGAACAAACATTTAACATTATAGCGAAAAATTTCACGAGTGTACGTATCTGAACATGACTGAAATTTCCGTGAAAAGTGTTTCTGCTTATAAGTACGAACAGTCCACGCAATTATTTGTTGATAAAACCCACTCTTCGCATCTGGATGGTGTAGTTGCTAGTTCTACCATGGGCAAACCAGCTGAGCCTTGATCTTGAGGTAAACTATTCATTTTTCACTTGGTAGTGGTCATATGCAGGACAGCAACACGTGGCAGCAAGCAGGTTGACAGTCTCTGGCTTTAAGCTGCATTTAACACATTATTTTAAAGCAACTGTATGAGTTTTTTTGTTTTTTAAATCAGTTTCAAAATCATTCTAATGGCACACTGACTTCTAATGAGGCGAATGGCTTTCCAACAACAGTTATAATTATGACAGTGAATTCCACTCACTTAACTGTAGGGGGCTCATACCGTTGCTTTAAATGTCAAGATGTTGATTTTTCCTTTTAAAATTATTTTATGAAATGAAGTGCCATTTAAATGCACATTAAACTACATATTTTTTCCTTATACTGTATGAAAAAAAAAAAACAATCCATAGAAGAGCCTGGAATTTAGATTTTGTTAACTCAAATGTGGAAGCTTTTATTCATTCGTATCTGAACTTTTCTATACTCTTTGCAAGTAAGAAAAACTGATCATCAGTGGAGGTGTTTACCTACTTCTGGTTTTAGCTGAGAGACATAACGATTACAGAATTATACATGTCTCATATGTGCATGTAAATATACATATTGTTTGACTGCTTTTTGTAAAAAGCCAAATCCAGTGGCCTAGATGTCTCATCATCTAAATTGTTCTACCATGAGGATGATGATCTAAAACACTCATCCATCCACACAATAAATAGACATTTATTAGATATTCCGAACAATAACAAAACTGCTCTGATAAACAAGTTCAATGATAAAAGTTATACTGCATGTTTTTACCAATGATTTTACCAAAGAAACATATGAAACTTACCTTTTATTATAATTAATTTATATTTCATTTAATTTATAATTAATAATTTTGTAATATTCTTTAAAAAAAAAGAAAAAAAGTGTAGTATATAGATGTGTAGAGTGAACATTTCTTATCACATGTATAGAAATATTGATCTGTTGAAAATGTTTTTTTCCATGTCATCCAACAAAGATTTCACTTTTGATAATCAATGCTGTTTTTGCATATAATGAGGCAGCGCTTCTTGAATAACATGCCTGGTTTTATTCATCAAAATACATGAATAATCATATTTTTACTGCACAATAATGATGAAAAAGGAAATACTAAAACATATAAACAATGGAAAAATGAGGACAGACGTTTGATGACAAACTGTAAAAAATGACCGTGAATTTAACGGTAAAAGACTGTAAAAATGCTACAGTAAAAACCTGTTAAATGGTTAACGGTAAATTCCCCTACTATATACGGTGAAAAACTGTATTGGACATTACATGTATTGGACATTAATTTTATGGTAGTATACTGTTTTTGGAAGTGAAAAAGACTGTATAATTTACAGTGAATAACCGTAAATTGACATTCCCAGAATTCCCTGCGTTATATTTCAAATTTGATGTTTTTTTTTGTTTAAATAACTATGTTTCTTCTTAGTTTTTTCTTATCAGTTTTGTATATTAGGGTTGTGTGTTACACCTAATGTTAAATTAATGTTTATGGCATTATTTCAGTTTCATGTCTGTTACCATGATGGTGTTTGTGTGAATGACACTGTGCACCTTATATATGTTATTATTTAAAAGCTGCTTGTTGTCAGGGTTATGGACCTGTCTTTGTGTGTTTTTGCTCCCTGTGACCCAGTTCTGTCTCCCGTTGATTGTGTTAATTTAATTCCAGGTGTGTCTAGTTCTTCCCCCAATTATCCTGTTTAAAAGCCCTAGTCCTTTCAGTCAGTGTTTGTCGGTTCTGAACGTCAATCTATGTGTCTCCTCGTTCCTCGCTCCTTGCCTCCCGAGAAGTGTGATAGAAGAACCGACCTAAACAGTTACCTCCGTTTGTACCCTCCATTTTGCTCCCAGTGTTTTTCTTTCCATTGTGTCCCCATGGATCCCTTCACTCGCCCCGAATTCCTCCTCCTCCTGCTGGAGCAAGGAGACAAAGCTCTCGAGGACCATACCAAACTGTTCCTGTTGGTCGCTAACATCACCAGCTACCCGGACGACGCAGAGCGCTGTCGTCCGAAGATGGTCCTCGGGAGGAATTCGCCGCCTTCGTGGAGTGGACTCTGGCGAGAAACGGGTCGCCACTCACCACCTGCCCTGTGGAGGATCTCGCCGGATCCACTCTGGACCCAGGGCCCAGCCCACCATCTCCCAGCATCAGCCTGAGCCCACCGATGACGGAGAGCCATTTCCCGCCGCGATCCGCGAGCCAGAGCGAAGCCAAGCAACTGAGCAGAGGATCGCCTCGGAAGTTGAGCCCAACCCGTCAGACCAGGTGCGAGAGCCGGCGACAGTGCCCACCACGAGGGAGCAAGCCGTGGACAGTGTGAGCGTGGAGTGGAGCTCCGCCCCCTGCATTGTGGCTGAGGGTGAGCTGAATATGGCGCGGCAAAAGGGCCAAAACGAAGAGGGGAGGGATCCAGCCCCCGAATCCAGCTCAGAGCGCCCTCCAGTGCGTCGACCCGCCATCGCCTCTGGACTCCTCTCCTCTGGCTGCGCCTCGTCGCTCTGTCCCACCGG